CGAGCATATTCCATCTGCATGACCCAACACTGGAATTCTATAATTAGAGTGCCATATTCGATCTATTAAAATCTCTAACTAAACTTTTTCCTAAATAAATAGATGATAATCTTGAGCCAACATTATGATAATAATTAGTATTTAATATCGTTTACCTAGTATTTTCTTGTATATAACGCACTAACGAGTTACTTCCACGTGGAATAACCAAGTCGATATACTTGTCAAGATCCAATAACGCTTTTATTTCTTCCCTCGTTTCAACAAGTTGAACTGCATTTTTTGGGATCTTTGTGTCACTCAATGCATTTTGGATTGTTGTTGAGAGTACATTCAATGAGAGACGTGATTCTTTTCCACCCTTTAATATCACGGCATTGCCTATCAACAATGAAAATAATAATAAGAATTTAAAAGGATAATTCCTTCTTCTTGGATTAATTGATAGCTCACCTGATTTCAAAGCTAATGCCGAGATATTCACCACTACTTCAGGTCTCGCCTCAAAAATTACCAACAAGACGCCAACAGGACAAGTTACACGGTAAAGTTCTAGCCCATGATCAAGTCGTGAGCTATAGGTGACCCGACCTGTTGGATCTGCTAATTTATCAATGTCTAATATGCCTTGAAGCATAGTAGTGAATTTATCGCCGCTTTCCAAATCTAGGCGTTTATAGAGCGACGCAGAAAGTTCACCACTTTGTACAAGTTTTTCCGCATTCTATTAATCAAATTTAAAGTTTTAGAGATAAAGTAAAACCCGAATTGTTCAAAATTTTTTTGACGAGATTTGACTGTAATTAAAAATAAACCTCTTTATCCTGTTTATTAGCCTTAAATATTTTTTCTTTGTCTGCTTCAAGGTGGGATACAATGCTTTTCAGCGCGTTACTTTTTTCTTCAAGAGTAACATGTTGAAGTTTATTTGATGCTTCTCGCGCTTTACGAGCGACATTTAATATCGTGTCTTTTGACATGATGTATGATTATCGTGCACGTGTGTGTGACTCGACTATACATGTTATTAATTCGTGGAAAACTCTTGGCAGAACACCATGAGTACTAAATAGTGCCAAGATTTAGGATCAAATATGGTGCACAAAACTGCACAATCTTCATTGTAACAGAACCGAAATCTTTTAATCTTCGTTTCGAGCTTACATCCCCGAAACATTTACCAAACCACATCTAAAATCCAATCAATCCAGCACAAAAAGAGTCGAGCGGGAATGGCGAATTGTGATTTTCTTGGGGTTAGTTTTGAAATAATTTATTCTTTATGGGAAGTTTTTCATCTTGTTTCGTGTCGAATTCAAAGTTAACCCTGCTTTTTTTTGCATTACCATTTCGCGTCTTTAGAAAGCAATCGAAATTGTGAAAAAAGCCACTGATGAAGACGCAAAAGGAAACTATGAGCAAGCTTACAAATATTATCAAAATGCGCTCGACTATTTTATGGCGGCTATGAAATGTAGGTGAGACAGCAAAGGTAGGGTGAGACGGAACGAACGAGTATAAAATAAGAATTACCACTTGTAAACGGGAGAGTATGGCTAGTTTATTCCAGGAGAACTGTTATATCATATATTTATATATATATATATATATTATATATATATATATGTATATGCTAAATACTCGAAAGAAGCCTCGAAAATTAGAACTTTCACTATACAACATTCTAATGATTATTGTTTATTCTGAATTATCTTAGATGAGAAAAATGATCGGATGAAAGAATCCATTCGTAAAAAATTTACAGAGTATCTTGATCGTGCAGAAAAACTGAAAGATTATCTAAATAATAAGGAAGAGAAACGGCAACGAAAGGCGGTTGGGGCTAATGGCACAGAGAGAGGAAACGGAGGTGGCAAAGAAAGGTTGGAATGCAAGATTACATTAATCTTTTTAGATGTATTTATTATTAACATTCTCAATTCTGTTTGAAATATAGGAAGAAGAGTAATTCCAGTAGTGATGATGATGGCGCGGATGATCCTGACACTAAAAAATTACGTGGCGCATTAGCAGGTAACGTTTAGATAAAAGT